CGGATGAGTTGGCATGTACCAATGGTTTCACGTGCGACTCTACTCGTATCATTACAAAAGATAAAACATGTAATGGGAAATTCGATTGCTTCGACATGTCTGACGAATGTAATCTGGAGTGCTCAAAACAGATACTGGAAAATTTAGCTCTGAAAGTAAGCTCATTGATCATTGGGGGGCTAACAATACTACTGTTTTGTTGTGAATAAAGTATTGTTATAATTTTAATTAAAATTGTGAATTTTATTCTCAAAAGGGATCACGACCTTGATTCCCATCTCAGGTCGTGACCAGTACTACTGGTACTTTACACTCGCCTTCCCCACCAATATCATACGTAGTGTTAGCCTCTCCTTCTCTTCTGCCCCATCACGGTCTAGGAAAAGATTTTGTTTCAGAAAGAACATTTTTATTATTTAGATCACCATTTTATTACTAAATCAATCAATATATATTCAAATAAATAATATCAAGCGATCCGTATTATGAGTTTTGTGATGATGTTACCTGCTACTATGTACCATCTTGTCATAACCCTTAAAGAAGAGCTTATCATCAACCGGAAATTTAATTCCCTGTGGTTTGAAGCGGATGCACCTCTCTTCATGCTTGGTCGAATTACTTTCCTGCTTAACACCATCACATTGACTGCAGTCAGAGTGGGATTATCGATTGGAGAAACTCTTACCGGATAATATGGTTCACTTGCTGCCTCTTTGCAGTCATCATAAGCAGCCACATTGATCCTCACACTGAAAATGCAATCGTGTTGGATATAAGTCAACCTATTATAAATGATTTCTGAAACGAAACTAGTAACAAAATCAAATAAACTATAAAAAATAAAGCATAGCCATACATACAGGAATATTCGAAGAATTATATTTATGATTAAAATAATGTGATAAACTAACTTGTTCATCCACTCTCGCTGGATGAACAAGCTCGCTTGCATTTCCATCTTTTCGTGGATATGGGTGTTTTGCTGCTATAACACACCGCAGCAAACTTCTGATGGATGATAATTGTGAAATTTACATTAATAATACATAATATTGTGAACTTAATTCCATAATATGTTTGAAAAAAGATAATTATTTTTATTTAAACCTTAAATAAACTTCACAATCACTAAACGGTTATCCTTGTTCTTTATGTTGAGGAGGGCATATTTTTTCTTCCTTAACCTAGAAGGCAGAGGGAAATGTTGACTAATTCGCATTGGTGTGTACTTGGTGATGAAGAGATGTGCACACTTGAGTCTTTTCACCACCCATCCAGATCCTAAGGTAAATAAATAAGCATTGTGGTCAAGCAGAATATTCTCTTAAAATACAATTTTTAATTATTATACGTATTCATTTTCGTGTGATGAGGGGTAATTGTAACTTTTATAGTATAACCTGATAGACTCACCATTTCTGGTAAAATTTGTTATCTGTGCACAGCAATTATATCAATCTGTCGTCCTATTTCTTCGATGTCGGTAGATTCTAGAAGCTCCGTTGCAGGTGTATGGAACGGTTGCATTCCCTCATCAGGTCCAACGGCTTTACACAAACCGATCTCAACACTTATGTAGAACTTGGCAGTTACTTTCCTGCTTGAAGCCATGGAAGCACCTGTAATGTGAATGCATATTTGAATATATTTTGTTAGTGTGAACTAATATAATATAACAGCGATTATGGTTAGAGCGACATATTTTAAAAGATTAACTCTTGCAATGGTATTTCATTTGCATATTTGAATTTATTTTTGTTAGTGTAAACTAACAACTATCATGGTTATAGCAACATATTTTTTTATTAAAAAAATTACCTCTAGCTCTTGCAATGGTATTTCGAGTTTCTTCCCTTCATGAGTAGAGCATTCAGTGATTTAATGCAGACAAAGTGAGTGTTGTCACTACTGCTTAACACCAACACATTAACTGTAGTCCGTGTGGTATCATCGATTGGAGAAACTCTAACCGGATAATCGCGTCCGTCTCTGCCCAACATCATCAGTACTAGTAGGTCTTCTAACGAAATCCGTCCACTGTTTGAAACCCTCCACGTCGTCCACACCGCTACAGGTGTGTCTTGAACGGAACCCTCGATTGCGTCATCGTCTTTCATTGCCTCAACTTCACACTTTTTGACTAGATTTATCGCGGGGTTCTCCGATATCAAACTCTTTCGCGCCCGACTCTGTCCAACATCAGGTCGCCTCACCCATTCTTGAAGCGAAATCTTTGCTTTTTTACTTACCGGTTGTGCCATGACGTTGCCTTAATAAAGATCTTGGTAAGTAATACTGTTTATCGACGATTAGTAAGTTAATATTATCACGGACATAACTTTCACGCTGAGGGCCCTTGCGTGAATAATTATGTCCGTGAAAAAATTGTCTGCAGATTCACTTGCTGCATCTTTGCAGTCATCTTATGCAACCACATTGATCTTCACGCTGAAAGTACAAACGTGTTGCATATAAATCAACTTATAACACGTATTATGTATGATTTCTGAAACTAAACTAACAAAAAGCACAAACATTTTCTCATTTATATCAGGAATATTACTATTTTTTAAAGATACAGTAACATTAGTGTTTCCATTATGATTAACGTGTAGCCTACTATTATGGGTTAATTTACAAATTTTTATTAGAAATTAGTCGAATACGATAACCTATTAAATAGGACAAGAGAACTTTAAATTACTATTATTGGTTAGCCACATTTAATATTTATTTAATAATTAACCGGCGATAGTTCTTCAGCACCGGATTTATCTCTGTTATTAACCACGGTACACTTTATTATCTAAATTACTTTACTACTCACATCCTGCGAAACACCTGTTCACTGTCCTTTCTTGAATTATGGAATGAACTCTATTCATTTTAGTCCTCGGTCTTTTCAGTAGTTCATCTATAATAATACGGTCAAAGTCAGCTTTGATGATGTTCTTAAGGTTGTAAAACCCCTTCCTGTTTTTTTGGAGTCTTACCTCTACCTGTAATTTGAATTTTGTTATAAAATATTACATTAACCCACCTACTACCTATATACACAAAAAGTCTTCGTGAAATACATTAATGAGAGTTATACCAACATAGTTTGAAAGATTACCTCAGGCAATGTTCTATCTTTACAGTCATCTTATGCAACCACATTGATCTTCACGCTGAAAGTACAAACGTGTTGCATATAAATCAACTTATAACACTTATTATGTATGATTTCTGAAACTAAACTAACAAAAAGCACAAACATTTTCTCATTTATATCAGGAATATTACTATTTTATAAAGATACAGTAACATTAGTGTTTCCATTATGATTAACGTGTAGCCTACTATTATGGGTTAATTTACAAATATTTATTAGAAATTAGTCGAATACGATAAATAAGACAAGAGAACTTATTACTATTACTAGCAGGAACCCGTCTACCCTAAAGTGGTGTCAAGACTCGAGAGACTAAAATAATTATTACCTATTTAATTTGCGTTTTTGACACCACTTGGGAGTCCAAATTTTGGGCACTAAAATTCTTATTCCTTGGCCAATTTTTTACTTTTTCATGCTGATTTGAAGGCCATTAAAGCATTTGACCCAGTCAAAAAAGTTTCAGTTGTATATCTTTTACGGTTTTTGCGGAAAGTCGCGTTAAAGTTGATGCCATGGTGTCAGTAAAATGGCACGGAACCATATATATCGTCTCGCTTTATATATAGTAAGATTAGTTAGCCACATTTAATATTTATTTAATAAATTTTAACAGGCGATAGAATTATCAAATTAAATCACTGCGACAAGAATTTTGTCTTCAAGCTTGAACTATTATATGAAGCTTTTTTAAATTCTCCCCTCATTTCCCATGTTTTAGTTCCTGTATACTGCGACTATCGTATAAATCTTCATAGGTTCTATAATGACCTTCGCTCCTCTTGAGTCCAGAATCCGCTGTAGTGAGCGCCGTGCCTCTTGGTAATGTACCCGGAGCTAATCACGTCGTGCCTTCCGTTTTAACGTCAAGGTCAATACCGGCCAAAAGTCCTCACTAAATACCAATCTCCTTAATTTCTCCTCATTCAACAATTACGCCACCATCCCCAAATACCGGTACTCTACCCCATTTTGCGATCGGTCTAGACTCCCAAAAAACGCCCGTTTCAACACCTTACTGGTCTTTCTCAGCTCAGAACAGTCTTCTATCAACGCGGCAATCATTGTGAAAACAAACGCTCCTCTTGAGTCCAGAATCCGCTTTAGTGAGCGCCGTGCCTCTTGGTAACCGGCGCTGGCACCGCTGGTTGTCTTAGCCGTCCATTGTTATTCATGTTTTCCTCTATGAATTGTCGTAGTAACAGTTATACTTAGTTAATTAGTAATGATTTTTAGTTATTACAATGATAAAATTATGGCATCTATTTTTAATGAAATTTGTTACTAGATTTATGAAATGGACACAGGAACAGATATTTCGATTAAAGTTAACTTGTTTATAAAAAACAATCTATAACATCCCTGAAAAACAATTAAATAACCCTAAAAATAGTCGATAGTACCTTCTATAGGGCCCGATAAATGAAATAAAATTAGACTAAAATTCTCGTGTAAATGATTGAGGAGCACTCTCCTCTTGTTTTGCCGAAGTGTACGGGTGCCCCGTACACTTCGGCAAAAGAACCCAATGTAGCCTTTTTCAAGTCTGAAGTCTAGAAGTAGACTTCAGACTTGAAAAAGGCTACATTGGGTTCTAGCTGACTCCTTTCTATTTACTGTTTTAATGTGGACAAATTATTGTTATAACAATAAGTTATAAAAATTATAAATAATTTAATTTAAATTCCGAAAATTCTCTAAACTAAAGGAAAGTTAACATTATCTTCTAATTCAGATCGAATCCTGCATCTGATTAGTTTACTTCGATTATCACAACATAGTTACTCCTTGTGTTTCCATAAACATTCTGTCTAAACAGCAAACTAACTTTTATTAATTTCAGGAATTTCTCAGAAGATGTTCCTTTTCAAGAGATAGAATAAAATGGTGATGTGGTTGAGATATGTGGTAGATATTCCTGTGGATGCTAGGATTCTGAGATGTCCTTCCAACTTTTGAAATCAAGTAAGGTTGATTGTGTAGCTTATCATTCATGGACATGTTCCGGGGTAACCACTGTTTACTAAAACGGTGGAGATCGCATGATTCAGTTTGAAACGTATGAACTGTGTCTGTACAGTGATGAAATTCATCAACTTACTTATATCTTGAATTTCAGGAAATTGATAGTTCGGTCTATCAGTGTCGAGAAGTTCAGTCTATGAAATTAAATGAACAGCAATGAAGCCTTGTAAACAACCTTCACGACTGCAGTGCAGGATCATAATCATATCAATGAGAAGTTACCGCTGATTATTTATTACTACATGTTGGTAGCGGACAGTTTATACTGTTAATGCGACTTCGAACTTATTTTAGAGTTTGGTTTCAGCAACATTTCTTACTTTAAAAATCAATGTCTTTATTCGTTGGCTTAAACGTTTTTAATACCTTCAATGCGAAATTCAATGATGTTATTTGTTTTTATTGCATTCTAATTCGATTAAAACTCGGGAATTTATTTTGTACTTCTAGAGGTTCTTTGCTCAAAATAGTAAAAACCTTATCTCACAGTTTCATGTTGACATCTACACGAAAATAACAATGAGTATCTTGTAAAATAAATTTAATTGTAAAGAACCGCTCACAAGATAGCACAAATGTTGGAAACAAGAGCACCAATTTCAAAAGCTAGAAACTACATTCAACTATAACTGGGTATTACTAATCCTTGCCCAGACAAAGATTATCCCCATAATCATTAATCACTTCTAGAGGTTCTTTGCTCAAAATAGTAAAAACCTTATCTCACAGTTTCATGTTGACATCTACACGAAAATAACAATGAGTATCTTGTAAAATAAATTTAATTGTAAAGAACCGCTCACAAGATAGCACAAATGTTGGAAACAAGAGCACCAATTTCAAAAGCTAGAAACTACATTCAACTATAACTGGGTATTACTAATCCTTGCCCAGACAAAGATTATCCCCATAATCATTAATCAATCATTATATTCACCTAGCTTGCTAGTATATTGCTTGCTCTCTCCTGTCCAGGATGAGGAAGCTTCAAAAGAGCACAGGGACTGGCGTGCTAGTTAATCATTATTGATTATATCCACTTTCAATCATAATACCGAAAGTCTAAAATTTTCCGTTAACATTTAAGTATTATAGCCACAGTTACATTCACAATGCGGCCAAAAATTCCCGTTTCCAAACTGCCCAATTCCCCTATCACTTGTGTGTTCACCCTGTCTAACAACAGCCCCAACAGTTGGCGAGTCAGCATCACTACAATTGGTAGATTCCGTGAACTTGTACAGCACCTCCGGACCTACGTATTGTTTATTGGTCAGCGTGTCCGTCAGGTTGTAACGGGTGATGGAAGTGTAGTAGCCGGGGTTGTGGACTGTGCCTTGAGTCACGCTGTTACTGGGGAGATAGTAGTTCTGCTGGTTGAGAGGGAGTGTAGTCCTCATGGTAGGCTCATGGAAGTCGGGTGCCGCGCACTGCTGTTGAAGCTGGGCTGTAACGCTAGGATTAAACTGAGCAGTTTGATTAGTGGTTGTGTTAGCGACGTGATGCAGCTCTGTCCGCTGTTGATGTGTTGTGCTGAACTTCCCAGCATTATGGTTATAATAGTTCACATTAGTTCCGTTATAGTACCCAGCATTGTGGCTGTAATTGGAAATCTCTGCATTTAAATTGTAGTTCCCATTTAAAAAGTTGCGGGGCGCTTGGTATGAGGTATAACTATTAGTATTAGTATTGTTGTGATACAATCTATTCTCCATTTCTGCCTCTTAGTAAAGTTCCCTTCTCTTTCATACTGAACTGACATAAACCCTGTAAGATATTGTGACAATCAAATGGGAGTGGTTTTGGATAGGACGATAATACTGCGATTCGCTTATAATTTAAAATCGAAGGCCCATTTGTAATTCAAATTTGTTATCCCCCCCCCCACCCCCCTCGGCTGATTACGTAATATATGAAGTATGATTTACCCCTAAAGGGTTTTGTGATTTTGTATGATTGGAATAAAAGGCATACAACCATGAACAACATGTAGCAAGCAATGCCCTAAATTCTCCTCAAAAATCTGACAAGTTCTTCAAGTTTAATGATCGCAGGTTGTCGGTGTGATTTCGTTCAGATTAAAATAGTATCGATATTCGATATTATTTATTTTTTACAAATTTGCGCTATCATTCCTGTTTAATAATCCGATCATAACAGTCACAGACTGAGCACTGGGCAGCTAAGTTGGTGTTACTTAACCATTATCTCCAACCTGCACCAGTTTCGCCGACACATTCCACAATTCTACTTTAAAAGTTAAACTAACAACTAAGAAAACTAAAACCGTTGACCGTTGCCACCCCTTCTCCATGAACTTTCAACTCGTAACTTGGAGAAAATGTACGGTCAATTATACCACAGAACCTCAAGGCTAAGTTGGTAATAGTTCAACGCTAAATAATAAAGTACTCACATCTCAAGAGTCAACTATAGGTTATAACAGAATAAGACATGATCACTTGGAGAAGATGAGGGTTATCATCACATGATCACCCACCACTATCACTATCAGCTATCAGAGAGGGTAGCGGTCATTTCCTCTTTGTTTTGCTTTTGTGCTTGTCAACTGATGGGCTTACTTAACCACAAGATCTGCGTGATCTATAATCATTGGTTTTATGAGACATATCATGTAACAGGATCAAAATTAGCATATTATGTATTTAAAATTATATGAAATTTACATATTATCAGATATAGATACGGAGAAGGGTCGATATGTTTTATTGGTCCTGATCAGTGATCATTCGCTCTCATCGTGCACTGAACGACTATTTTACATTGTATTTATTGACCGAGATCAGAAATAAAACTGAACCATTTTATATTCGAAGTAGATACAAATTAATAAATATTTTCAACACTGACTATATATCATCTCAAAATTTCAAACTCTTGTGATACCCAAAGTTCAGCTTACCCGAGAGATTTGAAATGACAGTAGACATTTTTACATACAAATAACGTTAAAAACTATAATTGGTACATCCTCCTCATTACTCATACAGTCCATGTCATAAAGAATAAATGTGATCTTACTATTCTTTTTGCTTTACTGCTAATTCTACACCAGATTGGTATTAAAAACTATAGATTAAAAGTTTCTTTATAATTGATAAAATTCTCAACATTTCTAATTCTAAAGTACCCTAATAGTAATAACATCAAATTGATTGCAATGCATCAAAAGTTTTCGGAGAGCTTTCCAGTGAAAACATAATCACTCAATTTTCTCATCTCCGACATTCAATTATGTAACATTTCGCTCCCTCAGAGTTTCATTAGATAAAAAGAAAATCAAGAATAAATATATCTTTATCAACAATCACGTCTGAACCGGAAATATATCTGAATATTTAAAAATCTCGGACTGAGCCAGCAATCCTACTCATTTTTAGATAAAACATTTATGAGAATTGACCCCTTCAATCGATGTCTGAGTCGTCCAATGGTTCGAATCCATCGTTTCCTTTGGTGAGGTGCCTGTTTTCGTCCGTTGATACGTACGTTCTGTAGAAATTTCCTTCAGCCCTGAAAATAACCAGGTCAATATATATTTTAGTATAGTCAGAAAGTGAAATGATTGGCGATTCCCGTATACAATAATATTTCACCATCTTACTATATATAAAGCGAGACGATATATATGGATGAAATTGAATGTGTTTATCCGTGCAAAAAATCGTAAAAGATATACAACTCAAAATTTTTTGACTGGGTCAAATGCTTTCATGGCCTCCAAATCAGAATGAAAAAATAAAAAATAGGCCAAGGAATAGGAATTTTAGAGCCCAAAATTTGGACCCCCAAGTGGTGTCAAAACGCGAATTAAATAGGTAATAATTATTTTAGTCTCTTGAGTCTTCTCACAATTTTAGGTTATACGGGTTCCTGCTAGTTAACCTAACGTATGCCCATAGGCATAAGTTAATTGATTATGTACCCAAACCCAGCAATATTCCCATCCAAAACACTAAATTGAACGTGGCGAAGTCCTTTTAAACTACACTAACCGTTTCTTGGCAACAATGAAGTATATCAATCCGATGAGAACAACCACTGCAAGTGCTACGATAGTGCCCACCAGAGCCAGCTTGGTCTTGTCCTTGACGTACTCCTTGGGTATCACTCCGAAATACTTTTCGTCTTGGTCACCTGAAATATAATTGTACTTGTAGTAAAACTTTACTTTTATAAGGGATCCTGGGCCTACCCCAGGACTTGGGGTACTCTTTACAATATTCAACTTAGCTGGGTTGTTTAAAATGTAGCAATTCTATTCTGGGTTTTAAACTCACTTTAAAGTTGCTGCATGCTTCATTTTATTTGCAACTAATTGCTCGCAGCTCGCTATAAGTATTCACTGGTTCATACACAAACCAGATGAACAAAGGTAATTTAATTGACAGCAAGGCAGCGTGGCTGTACAGAATTCAGCAGAATAAAAGACAAGGCCATTTAAATTTCTAATAGAATATCCAAAGAATAAGAAAGAGTACTTGCAACCTGCAGAACTATATACATTCAACATTTGTCAACATTTATCTGGGCATTATCGGGCTACTGATAGCTTTCTTAATGGAGCACACTTTCAATTTCTCTCAACGTTGTGGTCTAAAGCGATTGACGAAAGGTTAAGTGACTGAAGAGATTAACGACAAATATTAAATAATGCGACAACTAAGCCTGAAAAGGAGACACACTGAACTGACTACACTGAACACTCGGTGCCTTACCATTGCTCATTGGCTCCGTGGCGGGTGGTTCTGCAATTTAGATTAGGAAATTATATTTCAAGAAATCAATAGGGATATTAATAATAGGGGGGGGGGGGGGGCTCACAATATTATAGATTGTGTTTGGGCTATGTATAATACTCTAACCATGCAATCACAAAAATAAACATTACAAAATACATGCTTATGCATGCAAATTGCAACTTTAACCATCTTAATTACGATCATATTAGTCACCAGGGTTCTATCGCCCTACTCATGGGGTATAACTCTATAAGTATAAGACTAGAACTATAAGAGCTGTTTTTCATAATAATAGTAAACTCATATTACCTGTAGGGATGACACAAAGATCTTTAGAGAACTGCAGTGTGAGCATGGGTATCAGTGTGTGAGTGAAGAGAGACTTCAGAGGGTCCTTCTTCAGCACTCGGTAGTGCACTCCAAAATCGAGCTGAGGAGAATTATCACTTACAGATTTGAAAGCAGTTTGCATCAATATCGTGTTTTAAAACACAAACATCTGTTCAAGTTCGCCATTTGTCGACAATTCAGGTCACGGTTGTATCACTTACCACTTGCAACTTGATATGAATCGTAACTGATACCGATAGACATGACTCTGAATCTAGCCTAGAAACACTGATAGGTATTATACTAACCCTGAAGTGAGTGATGTCTAGAACCTTCTCTAGAACAATATCCAGACTGGACTCAGTCTCGTATATCCCCGCGTAACTCATGTTTCCCTTGGGTATCGTCACTGAGTCTGAAGTCTTGTAGTCTTTCTTGATTGTTGCTCCTGAAATTGGAGTTTTACTTTCAGGTCTACCAACAACCTCAGCATTAGTCATTTTACAAAATTGAAGACAGCCAAAAGTAAAAACAGAGCACATTCTCGACCACTTGCCAATATAATTAGACATACCCTCAATGTCAGTGACATTGAACTCGATCTGCACTGACGGACTCTCGCAAGGTTTCACAGAGAAGTTATAAGACATCTCGTGAGCAAGCAGGGTCAGCTTGCAGCAAGCTCCCATACAATCCTCGTGGACAGTGCAGTTCTGGGTGATCCCGCTGCTGGCAATGGAGGAGACCAGGCTGCTGCAGTGAATTTCCGGGGCGGTAGTACTGTTACCGGCCGGCTTGTCTGAGGTGATAACGGGTTAATCATAATGGTGACTGCAGTTATAATTCTAGGTCATCTTTCATATAATATGGTTTTAAAGTTGGAATAAATCAAATCTGTTCACCCTATTTTTTTAAAGAGGGCAGGTAAACACAAATCGACTGGTCGTCTTTAGTTTTACAAAACGTATATTTGCTGTTTGGGCAAAAAGATTGTACCAAATAGCACTTTACCATTTGTGTTCACAGTTGGGGTTTGGGTAGAGTTTTTCTTAGTCTCTGGTACTTTATGTGCTTCTGCTGGCTCATCTACGTTGTTCTTATTTTTATTCTGCTTCTGAAAATGGACTGCGTTAGGATCATAGTCTTATTTCAACATTACATCAACTGATCAAGACACTTTTAAATGGATCAATTACAGAGTTATTATTACAGTTATTATTTCAGTTATTATTTCAGTTATTATTACAGTTATTATTACAGAGTTAAGTACCAAATCTTCTATTTGAGCAAATCTTAAAACTTGTAATGGAGCCGGACGTTTTATCCCTTTACATCTTCCAGATAAATCTGATCCATTAGCATTTTATTATTTTGATATAAAAGAACAGTTTGAAACCTGATCTTTTACATCAACTAACAAATTAGATTGATTGAACATATTTAACTGAATATTAATAATTTACCCATTGTTTGGTCTGGGAGTCAGGGGTGTCTGGTTGGTCTCCAGCTTGGTATTCAGGAGTAGGACCAGCTGATATAGTTATCAGGAGAAGAGACAAACCTGCCAACAACTTCATCCTGACAGTTCATTGGTTAGTTATCAACAAGGTACATTTGAGAACGTGTTTATCATATTATGTAGGAGAACAACTTGATAAACAATCGCGTTATCATGGTCAAAGTCAAACAAAAACTATCCAAAGAAAACTTGTTATGTGGGTCTATTGCCAAAACAGTCGTCCCAAATAAAATGAATGGGCCCAGTTCACGATATATCGGATGATGTAGATTTAAATATTAGTTTAACAACTCATAGTCATTACCAATTACTAAACTGGGATAAAGCAGTCTGAAAGCTAGCGAACATGCTCTGCCAAGGTGGGCCTTAGCGTACAAAATCAAAGGATAGGTTCAAACGATCAGAGGCTAAATGAGCACAAAAAGGTCACTACCAAAAGCAGAATAATCGACATTATAAAACGCGGGCACAGCTTGCCAAGATGACGCCCTTTTAGTTGCTATATAGCTTTAGCTATTAAGCTGAAATCTTAGCTGATGCGGCGGGAGACTTTTAACATGTCCCAACGTTATAAATGTAACGTGTTCAATCATCGTCTCTTAAAATTAAATAAAGGACACCAATAAGTGCAAGGTGTGTGCTGCCCACATGCTGCAGTGGGGGTCTTTGAGATAAAACACCCAAACAGACAGACAAACACACACTGTACACTGTACAAGAGAGAGGAACTGTATAATTGCTGAAGCTCAACTCTGTGGATCACTCTAGCTATTTCAATAGTCGGAAATGAATGCAGCTACAGGATTGGTGCGGAGAGCGTGTACTGAGTACTGTGTATAATGAATAGCACTCTAGGCAGTCGGGTGGAAATTGGAGGGGAAGTCTTTAGAGATAAAGTTGCTCTGTTACTGTTTCTATCTGAGCTTCATGCACATATTATATGGAATATGGATGGAAGTGCTAGTTAACCAGGTGTAGCCAGGCCACACCCTGGCTCCGTAATGTTATGAAGGACTTGTTTTAACTCTAAATTAAATGCTCAAATATACATTATACTAGTCTGTACTGTGCTTTAACATTTAAGTTACTACCATGTACCAGTACTGCGTAATATCGATTATATAGCACGGCCGCGAAAATTACACTGTGGCGGGGAGGGGGTAACCCCCCTCCCCCCCCCCCCCCCCTTCTACATTTGTAGTATACATTTGTGGTATACACAAATCTGTAGCTAGAGTCTCGATATCAACTGCTAAAGATATTGCATAGTACCCAGCAAATTATCACGGATAAGGCATGATCAAACAGCGTTATTGCTTTTCTCTCCGATTTATAATTTGTGAGACAAGTACTCATCAGCGACAACCGGTTCACAAATCTAAGGGAGTGTAGCTACTCGATAATAGCGTCATTTTGGGATAACAACGACCTTCAACTAAAGATTTCGCATGAGGCAGCTACAAGACGTATGATTTAAAAAGTAAAGGCTGCCGGCTTAGTGACCGCGTATAAAACAAGTACACCACTGTAAAAGTTAATTACTCATCAAGACGAGCACAAAACAAAGGAACACACAGAAATATAGCACGTGTGCTGTGTCCAGTGTGTTAATTAGCAGATCCAGTATTAAGAGAGAGAGAGAGAGAGAGAGAGAGAGAGAGAGAGAGAGGGAGAGTTCTAGCTCCTCCCCAGCTGTTATTGTGTAATGTGTACTAAACCTCTCCATCCTACAGTCATTATACCTTTCTCAGCACCACTCACACTCACACACACTCACTCAGTACACACACTCTCTTGTTATATCGCCTCATCACACCTGGGCTTCTAAAGGAGTCCGGGGTTGGGTTACTTGATGCGTATGCTGACGTGAGGAAGGGAGGGAGGGAGGGGGAGGGAGGGATATTGAGTAGAGTTATAGAGATGGGGTGAGGGTTGCTCGATATTGAGTAGGCAAGCTCATACCTGATAATTTGATTGGAGCAAACTCATTACTACACAGTTAAGACCCCGATATGGTGTGATTATATTGCTCACAATTGGACGGGAAGATGTAAACAACCATGGGCCATGGCTATCAAATGTGAGACGGCAGTTGAACAACGCCGGCCAATGCATGTGATTTGTAGACATTTAGTAGCTGTTTACTGTGTCAGTGGTTATGTTATTGACAATTTTACATAAATCACATAATAGATGGCTAATTAGTAACATTGGAAATTATTAAGTAACAACGCTAGTTTATAATTAATTTCCACTTTACTTTTAGCAAACTGTCCAAAGAAGGATTATCATAAAGACACGTATGAAATCGAATATATCGGTTTATCAATAGACAATAGTACGGTTTATCAATATGATAGGTGTTTTGACTTTATGCATCACAATTCACACGTGTACTTTAAAGACTGCGGTGTTGCAATAAAATTAAATGTATAGTCGAGCTAAAAATGTCCATCTAGCGATCCAATATTAATTATCCACACAATCCACACAAAATACAACCATACACATTCTGAGTTTCTTTCAATTATGCATGCAATAGTATTTTATTCTATTTTACAATCAATTAATCCCATTTCATTCTATGTGCATTATTAGAAGAAATGAAGGTTTAGACTTAAAATATTTCTCCCGATCAGGTGCAAAATGCGGAAAGAAACAATCGAGTTTATTGAATCTGGCCAATAAAGAACAACCACAGTGAAAATAATATCGTGAAAATAAGTAGCGAACTTAAAATTTCGCAACTTTTAAGCAACAATGACTCCAGGTACAAGGTACAACTTACTTACTTACACACAAAATGGAGCTCATGAAAGAGAGCAATGCCATGAGACACGTGTAACATGTGTAAGTGACGCGACTATGGCAACACAACTAGCGCGTGTCATGTGGTGTGTGACGTCACCATAGCAACACACTGCGCTCCCAGCACACGTGCAAGTCACATGGTGGGCCAGGGCCAGTCTTTTGTTGTGTGTGTGTGTGTGTACAGACCAGGTGTGATTACATCACATCAAATTAGAGCTACCAGTATCTTTGTGTTGCTAAATCACAGGGTCATGTGAGATTAATACAGGTATAGGGACTGGGTACACTTAAATACTTACACACAACAAAACACTGTGATTATAATCAGAGTCAGGACCAAGAGAACACTGGAATGCGCTAAATAGAAGAGAGAACCAGGACAATGGGGAGGAGGAGAATATGTCTCAAGAGTTACACAGCAAGCAACAAGTCTCTGCAGCAGTGAAGTACTCTGCTGTGTTGTGTGCTAATAAGGGAGGTGTAACGAGAGTAATCACAACGCACGTGACTCTGGATCAACCAATGTTGCGACATAATGTGTGCTTAATAATACTTATACAGGCACTTATATTGTGACAGTAACTGAGACTGTAGTTAACAGGCTAACTGATACTAGTTGAGGTACTCATTTTGAAGCTAACTAGGTAGGTATTGTGTAAGGGAGCTTCAAATATCAAAACTAATAAAGTAATGATAGTATCATGCATATTATTATTAACGATGCATTATATGGTGTTTGAACACGAAGAAAAAACAAAAGAGGACGAAACTTGGCAAATGACTCCTTAAGCTGGATCGCGATCCCTGCGCAGATTGAAATTGAGTCACTTAAGTCACGTTTAGATAATGTTAAGAGGCAGTAAAACTAACGCTGGTTATGAGCATAAAATCATTGCAGCCCGTTAGTTTTACTGCCTCTTAACATTATCTAAACGTGACTTAAGTGACTCAATTTCAATCTGCGGCGCTCAACTAAACGTCATGAGTCATCATGTCCGTCTAATTCTAGAATTTTACATCTTGAATTATTGTCAAGAAACTCTGTGTGATACATTAACCTTTAGAGTTATTTGATGTGTTAAACTAAACAATCGTATGATGCAACGTTAGATTATGTCCTTGCTGTACGGCAGTGTTAAACAAGGAACTGAAACCGAGGGATTCCGTTCAGGCCCTTCACACTTTGTTTCTGTCTAGTTCTAATGTACCGTCACAATAGTGACTTTAATATATAACTATGCTATTGAATAATCAAGAGACTACCCAGAGGCTTAATCGCGGTGTTTTTCCCTCAAGATTTGCTGCACATACAAAATTCAGGCAGGTGCGGGATGGCACTATTTGTACACGTTTACCGCACCTGTATATTGCGTAGCAACACTGCTCAGTGGTAATATGGGCTATGGCAACTGCTTCATTAATATTGCGAGAAAGAAAGAAGGAAAGTGGCACAACAAACTCAAACTGTTGCAGGGAAATTCACCAGTAAATCATTTATATTCGTTTGAGATTCAAAATATAATTCTAACTGCTGAAAAGTTTAATTGCAGAGCTATTAAAATATGATCACATGTAAAAAACACAGCGCCTACGAAACACATGAGTTGAAAACATGGGGAGCGTCAGAATTTCATCTACAGATGGTCTATATATAGGATCCATCTCAAAACACCGCAACATCAAGACCTTTAGATCCGTAGATATGTTCATGCTGAACTGCAAGTGATCTCTCATAGGGAGCTTTGCTATTTTCATCATCGCAGGATAAGCATCGAGATCAAAATATGGAGGTTTTGTCGTTAAAAACTCTAAACACGTCGCACCTAGTGACCAAACGTCGCATTTGTTATTATACCCTTTACATTTGATGATCTCTGGACACATCCAATATGGAGTCCCAGCGTAGGAAAACGTCTTGTTCTCTTCATTTTCTTCCTCGAACTTTTTAGAACACCCGAAGTCGGCTATTTTAAGAACCCCATCAGCAGCTCTTAGCACATTCGCTGCTTTTAAATCTCTGTGAATAATGAAGTTCCTGTGGAGGTAGGAAAGGCCAAGCAACACGTGTGCTAGCGATTCTACAGTTTCCTCGGTTGACAGGGGTCCGTTTACTTGTATATATCGTCTCATGGACCCACCATCAACATACTCCATAAAAATATTGAAGGTCCCTCGATCAAGATCATCATCAAAACCATAGTATCTTACAATATGACGATATTCCACAGTTTTCAAGATTTCCAACTCATT